GGGCTAAGGGGCCGCCCGCGGACCCGCGCGCCTCCGTCCCTTCGCCAGACTTGGCCTCTGACGTCTTCTCACTGCGGGTGAAACTGGAGGAGACCGGGGAGCTGTTCCGCGTGGCCAACTGCCGCAACGACATGACAGTGCGGGAGCTCAAGGAGGAGCTGGACCTGATGGTCGGCATCCCCTTCAACCTACAGCGGCTGCACTTCCTGGACCAAGGTGGCTCCTGCCCGACCCCTTCCCGCACCCCACTCCTCCCCTGGGTCCCCAAGAAACACCTCACCACCCAAGGTGACCGAGTCAACCCCAGCCACCTTGAACCCCATCTAGAAGGGCCCCCTGGAGCTCCCAACTCCAAACACAGTGGTATCTCATTCGACCCCAAATGTAAAGGTGGACCTGAAACATTCCAAGACTGCACTTGAAACAAAATTGGGCCTCAATAGACCCCACCACCACCACCAATCATGGACAGGCCTTTGCCCTGTGAGAACCTGGGTCCAAAACCAACCCAAAATGGTGGACCCCAAGTTCTGCAGCCAGCCTGTCTGTGTAAGCATTCCAGAAGCTGAGACAAACCTTGCTGGTCTTAGAACCCCAAACCCAGAGCACCTCTGCCCAAGATTGAACCCCAGATCTCCAAACCAACAATAAATAGATCAAAACCCTGAAACTCCATCTACTGTGTCCACACAGAGCTGCACAAACTCAAAAGAAGCCAGTCAGTCCCAGGATCCTCAGTACCCCAAGCAAAGTCGGCATGACTGAACTCCAGGTCTCAGGGTTAATTATGGCCTCAGAAACCCAAGTCCTTCACCTCCCATGGCCATCCAAGGAAACCAAACATTAAATCCTTCCCACTCTAGGGACCCCAAATACACAACAAACATGGCTGAATCTTCAGACTAGCCATGACTTTGTTAGATGCCCCCAGACTTCCATCTACTGTGTCTACATAGAGATGCTAAAACTCAGAACAAACCTTCCCATCCTGGAACCCCCAACTCAGAACAAAGCTGAATGTCCAAATCTCCTTCCCACACTAACACCCCCCCAACTCATACCAACTATATATTCATTTCAAGGATGCTAAAATTCAAAATAAAACCTGCCCATCCTACAACCCCAAGCCCAGAACGCACCCACCCAAGGCTGAACCCCCAACTCTCCCAGGCTAACCACTACTGTAGCCCACCCCTAACATACAGAGATGCTTGAACTCAAAACAAACCTTGCCTATCCTAGGACCCCAAACCCAGAATAAACATGAACCCCAAGTTTGAAACTAGGCTAACCATCAGTCTCTTAGAACCCAAGTTATTCATATAAGGATGTCAAAATTAAACCAAAAATTTCCTTCCCACTCCAGTACCCCAAATCCAGAATATACTTACCCAAGACTGAACCCCACATCTCCAAACTAGCTATCACTAATTCAGAACCCCAAACTCACAGCATCCCCTTTATATGAGGACACTGGAAATCAAGACCAACCCTACCCACCTTAGGATCCCCAGACTGAAACAATTCTGGCCAAATATGAACCCCTAGTCCCCAGGCTAACCATATGACCATCAGGACCTGGAATCCATGGCTGTGTCCTCACAAGGATGCCGAAGGCTGAGACAAACCCTGCCCACCTCAGGGTCCCAAAGTCTGTCCACACATTGCTGTGTTTGAACCTCAAATCCTCTAGCTGCCCCTGGCCACTCCAGACCTAAGTCCCAGAGCAGACTCCGCCCACATCACGAGTATCAACACTGAGCCTGTGTACCCAATTCTGAGACACACACCCCCCCCACTCCCGGAAGCTCTCACCATCCATCTGTGCAGCCAAACCCCAGTCTACATTAGGATGCTAGATCCTCAAATGGACCTCGCCCACATCTGGACCCCCAAATCCAAAGCCAACTCTGTCTACCTCTGAAAGGCAGCCCTCAGGCTCCCCATGTCCCTCAAGGACCCCAGTCCAAGCCAAGTGTCTCATAAGGATTCCAAGGCTTTAATGAGTCCTGCCTACAGAAGGACCCCCAAAGGTGAAGCCAAGCCTGCTTCTCTTTGATTTCCCACCCTCACAGACACCATGTGTTTATGAGCATTTCAAAGCTGATGTTAGCTGTGCCCCTGTGAAGAAAACAAGGTTCAGAGAAACCCTGGTTGGTGAGGACCCCAGAACTCAATATAGATCTTTTAACCAAACCTCCTTATATCAGAACCCCAAGTTTAGAGTCAACTCTGTCACTAGCAAGATCCTAAATCTCAGGGGAGAGCTGTTTGATTCCTAACTCAGTTGCTTACCAGCCCGAGTTGCCTAAACCATCCACGCAAGGACCCCAAATCCTGCCACAGATTCCTCTTAAACCAGGACTCTTAACCAGACAGCAAACCTTGCTGTCATTGGAACCCCAAATCCAGAGTAAATCTTGCCCTCATTACCTTGCCCATGACTAGACCCTCCCCCCAAATCCTGACACTAACTTAAGTCTGTATCTAAACCCCAAGGTCCAAGCTATATCCTTTCCCACATTGGGGGCTCAAGGAGAGCCCAGCAGAATTAGAACCCAGTACCTGCAGCTCTCTTGAATCAGGACCCCCAGGAACCCTGATCTAGACAAATTCCATGGGGAGGCACCCAGTGGAGGCCAGAGGCTCAGCAGCCTTTCTGTCCTTCCATCTATATCCTTCCCTCAAGCTGAGGACGTGGTTGTCCCTGTCCCTGTCCCTGTCCCTGTCCCTGTCCCTTGTTCCCTACAATGTTTAGGATATGAGTACAGGATCAAAGCCCCTTGGGCTCCATCATCTCCCCACCCGATGGAAATCAACGCAAAACAGTTCAAGAAAATGAAGTTTAAAAAAAAAAAAAAAATGTCTGGTCTGCCGGGGGGAATGTGAGCAGCCGGAATCCCGGAGACACTGCAGGGTACTGCAGGGCCTGGGAACGATGGAGACAGCTCTGAAAGCAGCCTATCTCCACGCTCAGCGTTCTCACGCTGCCTTTCCTGGGCTCAGTTTCCTAATCCGGAAAGCAGAACCCCATTAGCTCCAGAGATCTCTGTGCTGTTCCCCGGTGGACAGGAATGACTCTGCAAACTGCCAGTGTGTGTAGGCAAGGCCAAAACATTTCTCCTTGCTACTTTTAAAAATAGGTTAGCTGTTCTCCATGGCACATGTATCTCCTTACAGGACTTGAAATATGCTTTCTGATATTCTCGAGGCTTTATGTAGCATGGAGCTGTGCTTTGAGACTTAGTCTATAGCTAACAAGTAATTCAGGAGGTAAGGCAAAGGGGTGGGGAGTAACTAGTTGTCCCCCAACAAGAAATTTGAAAAATTATGTATCCTCCTGAGTTCCTTTGTTTTCACTGATGAGCAATAAATTCCAGCAAGCTGAAGAAGGAGTGAGAGGCGGGGTGACTTCACACTGATGTCACAGTGCTAAGACTCCACAGTCACTTAGCAACTGCTGAAGGCCTGACCCCTGTGCTGTGTTGTGCTGTGCTGTGCTGTGCTGACTGGCTGGCACCATAGAGATGATGCTGATCTGTCGCTAAGAGAAATTTGGGCCCCTGCCTATAAATAATTGGCTGACACATCTGCCCACCTCTAAGGTTGCAGAGGAAAGGGCGAGTGAGATCATGGCGGGAAAGCGTCTGGGTGGCCATGTCTACACGAGCCAAGCAGATTCATGGGCAAGTGGTGCCCCTGCCAGTCATTTCTCTGTTGATAATTAGTAGTATTTGTTGGAGCCTAATGTAATGGCTGCCTGTCTACACAGGGGATAGGCCAGGGGTTGCCTCGGAACCGCTATGAGGGAAGAGACCCTTCCCTCCTAGGCATTTATTAAGTGGTTTCAAAGTCAGGTTGTCTTAGACTAGTGAGTGATAGGCTGGCTCCCACATTCAAGCCACAAATAGGACCCTAATTTACAGATTTGCCGGCCAGCATTCTCTGTCTTCATCCTTCTCAGAGTCTGGTCATCAAATGGTGCCCGCAAGCCTATCAGGAGTCTGCTTTGTCATGCGCCTGTAGAGGAAGAGCCATGGAGGCTGGAGTGTCATCCTGGGTATTCACAGATGCACCCCCTCAATGCAGGCACAGAGAGACTCAGCTTAATTGCCAAGAAGCCAGAATATTGGTTGGTTCTGCTCACCTGGAAGGAGTGCTCAGGTAGTCTGGGCAGATCACTACAGTTTGTGAACAATCCAAGTTCCCCATTTCAAAAGACACGCCCTACCTCAGGCCCCTTTAAGGATCATTTCCAAAGTCTGGGCTAATTACTTTGCTTATTTATTTTTTTTACTTATTTATTTAGACAGGTTCTCATATCTTAAGGTAGTCTCGAACTCCCGATCCTCCTGCCCCCAGCTCCCAAGTTCTGGGATGACAGGTGCGTGGCCACCAGGCCTGGCTGGTTTATGAGTGTGGAGCTAGACCCTCTGCTGTTCTTCACACACTCATCTTATTCAAGATGCCAAGCTGGGTCAGGCAAGAGCTCTGACACTTGGGTCCAAACACAGTGGGCCTCAATATATGCTTCTGTTGTTACCGTTACCGTGGGCTTGTATGGGGACAGTGTGTCCCCAACAGGGGCCATGCCTGGGTGGCATCTTGGGCTGTAAGAGCTAGCCGTAGGTGCCGCTGATGTGCCATGGCAGAGCCACAGAGTCTGTGGTGTGTGGGGTAGAGAGGGTTAGTTACCTAGTTGAGAATGCCACTTAAACACCTCCGTGGAAAAACCCTGACGTGGGCTGTCTGTCATTTGCAAGATGGCTCATGTCACTGTCATCTCTTTAGCCAGCTAATGGCAACATTTCTCTGGAGTCGGTGTTCAGTTGAAGGTATATCACTTGCTAAGTACACTGTCAGGCCTGTGATATATAGCTTAGATTTAAGTAGTTCTATTTGTAGAGTTTGCCTCATAAAACGATTTCACTGACTCATGTATTTTTCCCCAACAGGACAAGCTGTAATTACAAAATTTTATAAATCATTGCCATTGTGTGTGTTTTTTTTCCTTTCTTTTTCTTTTTGGGTCCAGCTTCGATCTGAGCTGAGCCAAATTAATTTTCTAAAGAGCATTAGCAGCAGCAAATGGGCTCCTGTGCAACCATCAAGTGGGAAATTTCCCCCCCCTCTTTGCTCAAGATTTTAAAAGTATCTTTGTGTGATTCAAGGTCAGACACTGTCTCAACTGATACAGTGACTTGTCTTCAAGTCCTAATTTTGCTAAAAGGGAAAAATTGTTCCCCATAGGGATTTTGATGGATGACGCCATCCTCAAGTTCTACGACGTCATTCCCGGAGCAGTCATCTCACTATGTATCTGGCATTATGATGGTTGGACAGAACTGGTTTTGGCAGCCGTGGAAGGGGATCCCAGTAAGGTGGTTACATGCTTCTTTCAATATTAGGGGTTGAGGGGCCCCTCCCTGGCGTTAGCATGAGCATTGCAATAAAAGCCTCAGCATAGGGAAGAAAGATGAGACTCCCCAATGGAGTGTTTGCAGCCAATTTGGCCTTGTGAGTCCCCTGGGTTCACTTATTTACAGTTTATAAACCTGCTCATTCCACCCACAGGGGAGCTCAGGTGGTACTTTTCTATCCCAGCAGTGGGCAAGTTGAAAATCAAATTTAATCCCAAGAACGGGTCTGTAACCCTGTGCTCACAGACTTGTGAGAAGAGGAAGAGGTAATTTCCTGGTGGGACGGGCTCAAGGGGAGGTTGAGCTGAGGGACAGGCGCTGGGATACATCTGGGAAAGAGAATGTGGCGATGAGCTCTGTGTCCCAGATCTCAGGCCCGAGGGACAGGAGCAAGGTCTCTATAGCTCCAGCTGTAGCACGTCTTCTAGTCACTTCTCTGCTTTCTCGGTTCCCCTCTCTCCTGGCAATTTAGTCAGTGCCTCAGCTTGTCTCCTTCTGCCCAAGGGGGTAACTGGTGCCCTCTGTTCCCGTGCAATTGCCCCATTGCCCCTCCTCATGCCACCCACTACCTGACCCCCGATATCAGGAGCACAGTCCTCGCTGTGGTGTCCCACAGCCCTCCCATCCCTGAAGACTTGTGTCTTCCCCAAGATGGCTCTGTGACGGGCTATCTACCTGCTAGAAGAGTTCAGAAAGTTCCAGAAATTGACAAAGACAAAGGGCACAAAAAATGGATTGGAAATGCAGAATCCATCACAGTGCCTAGTGGACCCCCCTCTTCTTGAGCTCCTGGGGGAGTTGTGTTGTTTTTCCAAAGGGCCACAAACATCTTCCTCTGGGCACTAGCAAAGTTGTCTTCTCCTTTAAAAACACTGACAGGAAGGCCTTCCTGTGTCCCCCGCCTGACGGGGGGGGGGGGGGGGGGGGGCTCAGGTGGCTGCCCTCCCTGAGTGTGTGCAGATCACGGAACAATGTCCCCTGTCAACACCCCCTCTGCTCCCACTGTGTATGTTGGTTCAGATGAAGCAAACGTCATGCGTGCTGGGGCGTAGGGCCACGTTCTGGATGCGACCCTGACTTATTTCTTTCACCTAGCTATCATGTCTTGGCGTCAGCGAGGACACCTTCTACCGAACGGCGAACTCACAGCACTTTAAGGGTGAGCAATGGAGGCAGTGGACCTCACAGAGGGCATTCGTGGCCTTGTACATCTCTGCTCACAGAGGTCACGTGGATGCCGTGCAGTATCTTCTAGAACTTGGTAATTCTGCAGAAAGCATGTCCTGGTCTGGTTGGGAGGACAGAAGGATCTGTCTCGTTTCTTCAGCGGTGGCTCCCTGAACCGCCTGTCTTCTTGTGAACCAAACCAAATGTCTCCCACTGGGTTCCTTAGGACATGACCACCAGAGGCTTTCACATCTCAGGGCAAAGGTCTCTAGAGCATTCTGTTGTGGTAGGTCCAAAATTGCAGGACAGTGAGAGACAGGGGATGTCCAGGAATTCCTAGCTCACCCTTTCCAAGCAGCCCGTGTTCTGTCTTCACCCTTGTCTCACCTGAAATAGATTTCACAATGGTCCCAAAAGGCCTCACCCTGGGTATCACAGTGGATGGCCAGCTGGCTGGCTGGAGGTCCTTGAAAATAGATCCTCAGAAAGATACTTCCTCTACCCACCCCCCACGCCCCTCCCATCATGTCTCCACTTAAGGGTGACCGTCTATCTATCCATCTGTCTATCTGTCCAAAGCTGTAAATCAGCACTGTGTCTGGACAGATGTCAGGGGATCTTTCATTCTCCCTGGTTGGGGGAATGGTACTTCTAATTGAGAGACAAACCACTAAAAAAAGTACCCACGGATTCAGATAGCCCAAAGCCATGACATGGCTTCCTTGGGACAAGGAAGTGTCTTGGGCTTTAAAAGCTGCTGCCTCCGTCTGCAATCTTGCTCAGTCCTGGCAATCCCAAGCCCCCCTTCTACCAGGCAGAGTGGGAGACCCCTCAACTTTCCAGGGAAGAATGCTGGCATGTCACATGTCTAGTACAGAGCTCGGGGATGGCTGGGTGATAACACCATGTTCTCTGCCATCCCAGACTGCCGTTCTGCACTTCTCTTATACAATGAAAGATGGGCTTTCACAGCCAGCAGTCCTTTAAGCTCATAAAAAGTCATCTTCGCTCTGATGGAGCTGTGATGTATTTGAAGGCACCCATTAAAAAATGACGGCGGGCTTTGCAAAGTTTTCCATCGTCTGCAGCCACCACAGGGGGAGGTGCAGGGTCTTGCCTGCACTCTGGAAGCCTACTTAAGCTTCGCCTCGCCAGCCAGCCAGTCATAGCTCAATCGGACTGTGGCAGCAGCCGCAGTGCCAGCTGGGATGAATTGAATTGCCTTGTTTCTTTTGTGTCATGATTTCTGTTACCCAGAATTTGATTCAACTCCTAGAGTCCATGCTGGACCCTTGTCATTAGCCCATCTGTCTGCAGGAGGCAGTGAGAATCCAGATCTGTCCATGTTTAGGCTGCTATCCCCCGTTACCTCCCCAGTACCTCTGTGTGGGGAGGATAAAAAAAAAAAAAAAAAAAAAAGCAGTGCCCAAACCATGTGTTTTCCCTCCTGGATCTTAGGCAGGAAAGTCAGCCATTGATTACAAATTATTAATTCCATAGTCAGTCACATATGGGATGCATTAAACCCTGTGCCTGCTGAACTTGTAGGGGTGGGGTTGTAAGGAAGAAGAGTTAAGGAGGTTACTGAAACCCTAAGAAGTTAAAAAAAAAAAAAAAAGGAAAGAAAGGGAAGGAAAAAGTATAGTCTGTAACAGGAATAGTATGTGCAAAGGGCCTGGGGCAGGGTGCAGAATGCTGTATTTAAGGGTAAAGACAGGAAGTACAAGGAGCTGGAGCTTTGGAAGCAAAGGAACTCAGCAGGAAGCACGGGAGGGGTGAGGATAGCATTGGAATATCTAAGCAGTGAAGTGAGTCAGGCAAAGATTTCAAAGAGTGTCCCACAGGCAGCAAGAGCTGGGTGACAGGCTTGGAACAGGAAACTGGAATGGGTGCCCCATGGGATCAGGCTGGATGGGAAGAGTGATGAACTAAGGGAAGCCAGCCACCATGTCCCTGGGAGCAGTGTCAACTCTCCCTTGATTCCCGTCCTAGCCCCGCCCCCTTCTTGTCCTCCAGGGTCAGATGGTGGGACCCCTGCCCGGAAGAGCAGCCCACTCCAACAGGTCCTTTTATCTCACAGGAGCGAACTGCTTGGGCAAGTCACCCCTGGGCAGGACGCCCCTGCACGTGGTTGCAGCCATGGGCAGGATGGACTGCATCAGGCCTTTACTGGAACACAGCGCCAACATCCACGACAGAGACGCAAAGGGGGAAACGCCCGTCACCATCGCACGGCGCCTGAATCGCAGCAATTTCGAGCGCAAGATGTTCCTCCTCTACTGGATGATCAAGTGTGGGCCCAGAGACCCCAATAACTTGGTAGTGAGGGAGGCTCCAAAGAAACCCAGCCCTAAGGCTCTGTCAAAGGGCCCAGTGTTACCTCCCTGAGCACGTCTGCCCATCACCCTGCTCCGGGGCAACCTTGCAGCTCCCACAGTGGCCCCCATGGCACTCATTAGGCTACAAAAGAAGGGACAGATCTGAATCAGTCACCAAATTGGTTGTCCTTTTACCAGTGCCTCTGGGAGGGTGTAATGGAGCGGGTGAGCTCTCCTCTTTTGTAATCTGTTCCGTCCCCACCAGGCCGACAATGCCAGCCTTTAATTTTAAGCTCTTTGTGCATGGCACCCAATCACACCGGTTGGGGTGATGGTAGCCAATTATCTATCCCTTTTGAGGCCATCTAATGCACCAGGATAATAGTAGTAATAGCAGGAATGATAATAGCACCCCTGTTATCGAGCAGAGAGAGCACCGGCCGACGTCAGGAGGTCGTGTACAGCGTAGGCTGTGAATTTGTTTGTCAGACTTAGGCGGCTAACCATTTCTGTGGCCAGGAATGACACAGCTTTGGCTGAGCCAGCTCTGAAGGGGTCTGCTGCTTGAGCATGGGGCACAGGAGAAGCTCGGAGTGGGCCCGTGAGCCTCCAAACATGGCCTGCCAAGGAAGGGGCTGTGTTCTTACCCTTGTGGCAAGGACACGTATGGCCTTAGGGGTAGAGGAAACAACACAGGAGACAAGGACAGAGCCAGGCTGGCAACGTCTTCCTGTGGCCCCAAACCCGGTAGTCCCTACAGGCCTCCATGCTCCTTCCCACTTTCGCAAGCACCCCTTTTCCCTGGGAGCTAACTAGCTCAGAGTGCTCATTGTTGGATCCAGGCAACACTCTGCCTTAGACTATCTATCTATACCTTAGACCCTGCAGCTGGGGTGAGTGAACCAAGTGCAGACTACCGGCAAAGAATCTGACCGTGAGGCCAAATGCCCAAGAAAGGGCATGGGGACCCAGCTTCAACAGAAAGGAAGGCAAGGTGGAAGTTGCTGGATTGTTCTAGAGTGTTCCAGAGCTAAAACCCAACTCTCATGATAGCTCAGCTTCTGGTTTTAAAACATGGCCTTGAGATTCTGAAGAAGCAGCAAAGAGTGAAAGCATGCCCAAGTGCTAGAATGGACCTGGGTCCCCATTAGGGTGACCCCCACCCCGGGAAAGTGCTAGAATGGACCTGGGTCCCCATTAGGATGACCCCCAGTTCTACAGCTGCAGTCTGGGGACAGCCACAGGCCTTGTAGTGACGCACAATGTCCACCTTGTTACTCCCGGTGGGCCATATGTTTTCCTGAATCCCTGAACCACAGCACAAGTTCTGGAATCCATGTATATGTCAAAGGTCTCTTGGCCACTCATCAAGTTGCTTGAGGTGGAAGCGGATGAGACTGACATTGCACCCTGGCTGCCCTTCTTTGCAATGTCCCAACAACTAGGCCTTACTTTAAAATTAATGGCCTGTGTTTCCTGGTGTCACAGCAAGTAAGACCTTTG